CTACAGCAGCAAAAGACTGGGTCTCACCGAAATTGGACAACAGAGGATTGTACAAATGTTGCGTGGTCTGTTGACGCTCAGTTTCTGCTGCTACATTCAGATGGTGGAGTCAGAGGTAGGTATAAAACACATAAAACTATAGATCCATCTGAATTGTATCAATGGTTCAATGGTGGTGTAATGGTGTGTGGATATTTTCTTGGCACACTTTGGATTTCTAAAGGATAATGCATTATATATATCAGCTGAGCATCGTCACGGCCTGAGTGTTGTTGCTGACAATTTTCATCCCTTTATGACCACAGGGTACCCATCTTCTGATGTCTGCTTCTGGCAACATAGCATCCCATAGCCGTAAAGTTCAAATCATCTCAATTACCCCTTGCTGAATTCATGCCTCGAAGAATTTAAACCTAGGAAGTTGTAGCTAATAAAGTAGTCAGTGTTTGTATGTTTGTTATATATGTGTGTGTGTGTGTGTGTGTGTGTGTGCAGACAGTTGATAGGGGAGCTGTTAAGTCTAATTGTTGAATGTGTCATTGTGTTTCTTAAATTTGTAAACTCTGAGTTCAATCTATAGGATCAAGATATTCCTTTGTCTCTGACCACCTCTCCAGCCACAGATACATCCTATCTGGAAGGCATGTTTCTTGTGTTGTAAGCTTCCTGCTTTTATGACTCTTTTGGTCAGCAGGAGGTCACACAAACGCACCCCCATGACACACACACACGCACACACACACACACACATTCTTGCACATGCATACAGGTGCTTACACATACACACACGTAGTGCCTTGTCTTTGTAACTAAGGGGGGTTTTACGGAGGGAGGTGCTTGTGCTGTGATGTGTATTGTAACAGTTTGTCAATAAATAGCTGTGAGGGAAGCTGCTATTTTAAGGATTTGTGGCTGGAGTTAGGTGAGGAGCGTGAGCTCCATGAGCTGGTTCTGACCCAAAACAAGCTGGTTGAAGATGTTCTGTCTTGTTTTCCGCTCTTCATGAGGAATAAGTGTCTAAACTAGCGGGGCTTGTGGAAACACAGACCCAACAGGAGCCAAGCAGGGTTTTATTTTTCCTCAAAAGGCATGAGAATAGTCCAGCGGACATTGGTTGGAAATGTCATGACAGGTGCCTGGAGTCTAACCAAAGGGCAGTGTGTGTGTGTGTGTGTGTGTAAAACTTATGACAGCTCCCTGTTGAAAGATGACAAGTGAAAACTAATGAGACTGTATGTTTCAACACAAGTTGTCCCAGCAACAATGTGGTCAGGTGTGTGTGCTTAAAAAGGACACATGCTGAGGGAAAAGAAAAAGAAAAGCAAAAAGTTCAGAGTGAGCGAGAGCCGAACTGCATGTTTTGTTTGGGGGAGTGAAGTTTTTATTAAATCTTCCTACAAAGACAACAAAACTCTGGGGACAGTTCTGCCAATTCTTTTTTAAATTACACTGAACCGACAACTTCACACGATACCATCAGCAGACTCCAGTCGGTATGGCTTCCCTACTTCCATCATAATCACTCATCTTATTTCCAGTCCATACGCTCCCCTTCCTCTTCCATACCTCACCCTGTAGTGGCTCTCATCACTTCTGCTTTGGAATCTCCTACTTTGATCTTTACACATAATCGCATAGATTCTTGCCAACACAGCATTTTCTGTTCAGCTCCTCACTGACCGCGGTGACAAAGGTACGACTTTGGTGTATGCTGACACCCATAAACGGTAGCAGCTGTCATCCCAGAAGAAAAACACCAGCTGATCGTGTCGGGCCCGGTCGGTCGCACAGTGCTGCTGGTTGTGTTAGCATTAGCAAGCCTAATGAGTGCCGACGGGAAAATGACATTGTAAATGAACGAGATTAATTCCTCTTCAGTGGCAGTAAACACAACACGTCTGCGTACCAATGACTCTGGGACTGTGACATGAAAACATGCAGAAACACACATCAGTAATCAGAGCTCAGTCAAGGCGATTCTCTCAAAAGGCCATAAATGTTTTTCTAATTACTTCAAAAACTCCAGACTCCTTGTCTGACCTGAGCTTCTTCTGGCTCTGATCCGCAGCACTCGGGCTCTCTACATTACACTGAGAGGCAGGCAGTCAGTCTCCTGAATCCTTACACAACATATCCATGAAGCCAAGTTCATTATAAACTAGTCTTTTAATACTCTGGGAGAAGTGGTTTAAGCAAAGTTCAAAATGAAGAATTGAAAATTCTGAAAGTTTTCTCATCACGCAAAAACCCATTCATACATTTTCTTAACCACTTCAGGTTAAAAGGGTTCAAAAGCCTATTTCAACTCTCATAGGATAAAAGATGGTAGCTTGTCCAGTGTGTACCCCATTTTAGGCTAACACAGACAGAAAGACAACAGTTCATGCTCATATACACATCTACAGCCAATTTAGAGCCACCAATTAACTGAGCATGCATGTCTTTACACTGTGGGAGCAGTAATCCCACACAAAACATGCAACTCCATACAGAAGGGGTTAACCGTCCAATGAATTCAAACCCAGGATCCCCTCGTTGTGCTGTGTACCACTGTGCATCCGAGTTCATTATTCAGTAATTACTAATTAATGTTAGGGAGAAATATTAAAGTTGTAAAACTAATGTTCAAATAGCTTGAATGTATGAAGTTGTCATGAAATAAGTGTGCTAATAAACCTTCAGGATTAGATCAGCGCATTTAAATAAACAAGCATAATTGTAGTTTATTTAAATATACTGGACCACTTTCATAATGTTCCCATCCACAAAAAAAGGTTTGTGAGGTTTTCCATATTTCTGCATAAATATAAACTAAAATGTCATCCAATGAGGTGAAACCAAGAACAACTAAAATTTAAATAAATAAATATTTTCTTGGATGAAGTCAATAGACCCAATATTGTTCATCTGTGAGTGGGGGAAACTATGTAAACTTTGGAATCGGCATTAATTTGGAAACAAAAACAGTGTCTTCATCTATGGAAAGGCAATCAGATGCTTGTGAAATACAGATCTATTACGACGCCTGAGCCTGAATGGTGCAAATGAGGCCACCTAAAAAGAGCTGTTAATGCTCAGGAGCCTGGGAAAGTTTACAAAACTATCTAAAAGGTGTTTGGAATCCACCGATCTACAATCAGACAAACTTTTTGCAAATGAATGAATCTGAAAAACCCGACACAGGAGGGTCAACCAACAAAGACCCCATAGGCAAGGTGTATAATAATAACCTGCAATGTCACTAAGGAACCCAGGGTAATTTCTAAGTAATTAAAGGGCTGTCTTACAATTCATGAGTCCACCAGCTTTAAAAATGAAGAGCTAAACGAGAGAGCCACTGCTCATCAAAGGGAAATTAATTAGAAATTAATTTGGAATTATAACAGCAATTAATTTCAAGAGATAGTGAAGTGACATCCCACACTTCATGTGAGGAAATGGCACCTGTGTCATGGTCCAGGGTTTTTGGAGTTATTATTAAATATATTCTGTTTGATTCCTTGTAAGCTTATTTCTTATAATGTATCTTGTTGTTTTCCTTAGCATTTACCTCTAGCTCTTAGCTGCCCTTGCTATTTGTAGTTGAGTTTAGCCGTTCCTCAGGCTTTTCTTTTCTTTTATTCACTAGCATTTTCGGTTTCTTATTTCTAGGTATTGATTGTTCCAGTATTTCCCTGTATCGTGTGCGATCAGTTCCCATTAGGCTTTGAGTCTTGGTTACAGTCTGTCTTCTATGAGCTCTTGTTCCCTGTCTTGTGTCAGTTTTCTATATTCTGTGTATTCTGTATTCCCTTTCTATAAGTAATTTCTCTCTTATATTTAGTTTTACTTCTTTGTCTTGTTTAGAGACAAGAAAGTTTCAGCTGTGTCTCATCATCACTGCCTGTGTCCCCCGATTACCTCATGTCTGTATTTCAGGCCTCAGTTCATGGTTGTGTTATACTGTGTATTTGTTTTTGTAGTCTGTTCCTGTCTGGCAACCTTAGTTATTCCTTGAATACCTAGTGTTCTGTATTTCTTTTGGACTTTGTTTGTGTCTTTTTCTGAATTTACTGTTTTGCATTTAATCAACCTTAATAAAGGCTTGCAGTTTTGATCCGATATAAAACACACAGGGTCACATAAAAGTGTTATATATACTTTTAAATTTGTTAAATCAGGTTCTCTTTTTCTACCTAAAGAATTTAGTGAAACTCTGATATGTCAGGTCATGTTATGTAGAAATATGAAAAAGCTTAAAGAACCTCTGAACCTTTTTCTTGAAGCTCTAGCACATAATTTGTGCAATACTTTTGAAAAAGTCAGAGTTATGAAATGGACTTCAAGGTGACACACTCTGCTCAGAGAGCTGTTTGGTGTTTTGAGGTGCTAAGGTAATGGAGTAGCACTTAATGTGACCTGACTTTCACTGTTAGTGTTTTTACCATTTCCACCATTTATCAGAAACGTCTGCTCCTTTTACATTTTGAAATGACTGAAGTTGCCTTCATAAAATGACGGGGCCAAAATACTGAAAGGTTCTCACTTTAAAAATGTGCTCAAAAGTCACTGGAGTCTGCTGCATTTTTTTTTCTTGCACAGCTTGGAAGTTTATGAACTTTTTAGATGCTTAAATTTGAAGTACTGAACAAATGAGTTGATAGGCTGATTCAGACCACGCTGACCTTGGAATCAGTTTTTTTCAACGATCTCATTTTAACATAAGTAATTAACCACAATCAATTCTCTGACCTTCCAGTCACTCTCACCTCCAGGCTGTCCTTTCACTGTATGCCCTTTTCTTTATTTCAGAGCAGCCAAAAAAACCTGATGAAACCATTTTAAGTCTTTACTGATTAATTGCTATTAAGAAATGTAAGCTTCAGCCCTTCTTACCACCTGCATTGTATTTGTTGCCAGATAGCATTAGCTTATTGAGCACTATATCAGGGACCTGCAGGAGCCCCTGAGGGTTTTCAGTAGGATAACTCTTGTGGACTGACAGCTTTTGGATGGCCAGGTCACATCACTGGCCATGTTTAGAGTATTCATCAATACTTCCTGTGCTTTTAGATAATTGAGGGCAGGTGTGGTGTCATTATGCAAAAAGATGCTTAGACAGGACCCAGCCATTCAGGGCTCTGGACCTCTTTGGGTTATCCTGCATTAGAAATTAGAAACGTAGAGCCTAATGAAACACATCGGTTGGATTATTCAGTAATTCTAACTGAGCAAGTGACCTGTCCTAGGTTTACCTGCGTTCTGTCTTATGACAGCTGTCTCCAGTCCCCCCAAAACACATAGGCCCTAGTCACACTGGCCTACAGACTTGTTTGCACCCCTGTTAACCTTTGATAACTATGGTAAATGTATGTTCTCCAACTGGTTAGCAAGTAGTTGCTACAGATTGCTGGCAGTTCTTGGGAGCTGATTGCATTGGTTGTGAGCAGCCTACAATAGTTTCCAGGAGTTTGCACACTCTTTTTAAGTGTCCTTTCTCACTGTCCCTCTTCCCCTTTGGTTTTCTTTTCCTTCATCTTTCTCCCTTTCCTATCCCCCAGCCATGTAGGAAGGAGTTTGCATGGAAGACACCAACTTATCTGCAAACACTTGTCAACTATTCTACATATGATAGTGAAACTTGTGCAATGCACGTTTTCAGAGTATATGCCTTCAAAGTAAAACTTACATATTCTGAAATGTGTTAGTTTGAAGGTGAACTCTTTCTTATTCTCATTTGTGTCTCACAGGTTGTCTACCGCTTGGCAAGCAGTGGGATAATAATTGCAAAGTACACAGGGTAGGTGACCACAACAATCTGTTAGTGAGCAAAGCAATCGCAAGAAGTTTTCAGCACAACACTATATACCTCGAGCAATGAATTTCACCTACTTGTAGGTAGTGCCAACGACCTTCAGCAGCCACTCACCAACCAGTCATGAAATACACCTTTTTGTCTAGTGACCTGTGGTTGTCTATGGTTTCAGACCAGACCAGTTAAAGACCTGCATAACTGGAGCCGAAGTTGAATAAACTGCTAAGGAAATACATGAACATATTTAGAGTATAAACCTTTACTTAAACATACACCTTTAAATATTACCTTTTTTATCTGAAAGGTTTTTTCGTTGGTTTCAATGTGAGTCTGTTGTGTCTCCATTTCCCTGAAAACCTTATGTGTATAAATAGTCATGTCTTTCCTCCAAGCCTTTGCCACAGAGTCCGTTAAACTTCCCATGTGTGGTCACTCTTTGACTTCCTGGGCTTATTTTGAGTTAGCTGAGTTTTTTTTTGTTGTTGTCTTGGAGTCTGCATTTGGGTTCTCATCCTACAGTACCTGATGATTGTTTTATCTCTGCATTATCATAAAGTTCTATAAGATACTGATTAAATTTTATACACTGAATGATAATCATTGATAATTTCCTTATTTTATGTAACAGAAACACCAAAAACCAAAAATATTTATTGTGTGATTAGACAAGAGGAGGCTAAGCAGAAAATCTATACCCCTATAAGTTTGGAATTGAGACTAAATTATTAATTTATCATGAGGAAAATATTTTTCTAAAAATCTAACAATTGTTTAGCACATATATTTTGTTTATTATGACTCAATTAAAAGTAACGATGGCAAATAAGACAGTAATTCAGCAATGAAACAGTAATAACATTTGATAATCCAGCTAATTCAGTTTGCACAAAGGCTTCACAGTTACCAAAGGTCTCTTCACTTGCTGTCGTCCAAACTCGTTAGTTACACTCTGAAACATGCGCTCTTGTTAGTACGAACTGATCAAACTTGGCAGCAGTGAACTGTGGTGAGTTTTCATACTAATTAAGGCTGCAGACAAGGGATTCAAAGTATAATGAGATTTACTCAAATTAAACACTGTTCTTTCACGATTGTCTGTCAGAACAAAGGCTGTAGGGGAAATTCTGTTAGGCAGGAACTAGCAGATTTAAATTCTATGTATTTACAGCATAGACGAATGATGTACAACAATAATTGGAGTTGGCAAGACATGTATAGAGTCCACCTGAAAAATAAAACCTTCAGTCTTACAATCCTTTAGAGTATCATCAGTGTTTATATGTGTGCATGTGTGGGCTGTCAGTGTTTCAGACAAACGAGTGGTGAAACTGGATCTCATTCCATCACCTGAAGCCAAACTTGTCCATGGCAATGGCAAAATGTCTCGGCTGGTCGTAGCAGTGGTAGAGGTTGCGGTCGTCCATCGGGATCAGGTCAACATCACTGAAGATGAAGCAGTCATACTCTGCATCCTTCAAAGCCTCCGTGTAACCAACGTTCAACAACTTAGCACGGTTGAAAGTGTCCTCGCCCAACTGTAAGACACACAAAGGAGAATCTGACATCAAGACACGAACCTAAAAACTTTGAACACGTAAGGATGCAAAGTTATGCGATGTCAGGAAAACAGGCAGTGAATTTCTGATCAAATGTACATTATTAAAATGACCGTGTCATAGAAATGAGAAACAAAAAGAAGACCGTATATAAAATAAGACATTTTCATTTTTCTTCAGTATTATAAAACAATATTAAAGTGGGAGTAGAGGCCCCTGAAGTTATAAATCTGGTCTTTCACATGTTATACGAATGAAAACAACATCTGAATGTACAACTGCTACAGGCACTTTTATCATAAATAAAGAGAGAATGAGTCAGGATGTAGCAAATTAGGTCAGGCTCAAATCAAAGGTGTTTTTCTTCTATTAATCCACTATGAGCTGATGTGTTTATTGACCCCAAGGAAAGATCATTTGCCTGAACCAGTAAAACCCATCTGCTTTTGCGATAAAAGTTAAACTCCATTTAAATATATATTCATTTTTGTAATGTCTGCTGCACTTGGGGGAAATTGATTCAAGCTATGTGTGAATGTGTATATGAAGTAATAATGTTTTTACTGTTGATAAATACAACAGTAAAAACACAGTGTAGAAAGTGGAAGACATAGTTCACGACAAAAAGTGAGCTTTAATAACTGATCTCCAAAAACAAAGGCCAAAGATGCAACGAGAAGAAGTAACCCAAAAGTCTGGGACAAAAGGGACTTTACAGAAAAGAATATAAACTGGAACAAGACAGGAAGTAACACTGCCACAAACCAGGGCTTTTTATAGTCAAGTGATAGGGGAATTGACACAGAAAGGTAGCATGAGACCGGGGAAGACAATGAGACGGGGGAGGAAGTGAAGCTCAAAACAACACACAAGAGAAAACTGGCAACATATGTATCAAAATGCAGTACTGTGCAAAAGTCCTGAGTCATTCCATTCTTTATATTTTGCTTCCAAGGAGCCATATATGTTGTTTTAAACTGGTCTTGTGCAACAGTTTTCCAGGTTTTCTGAGGCACTTTTAAAGTTATTTTTAACATTTTTCTTAGACATCGGTTGCTTTTTCACTCTCATGCATAATTTGTTCACATTTCTTTCGCTGAATTTATGAAAAAATGCCAAATACATTGGTTTGACAAACATGAAATAATATTTTTGTACCAGAAAGTTTATTTTTAATTATTAGCCAAAAGCCTGGAATATCTCTGCATGGTGTTCAGTGTGTCCTTCAAACAGTTTCAGGACACTGGAAAAGGGGAGGACAAACTACAAAGTGACAGCCCTAAAAGCTATTTACAGGAAACTAATTATCTGAAAGTCATGTCTTTAGGAAAAAGGAAAAATCTAGCAAAAACCTGACACAATACTTCAGAGATAAATCTGACCATTCTGTTGATTAATCAACTACTTTTTTTGCCCAACTTTTCCTGATTTCTTAACATTTTCTGAAATTTTCTTTTCCTTTCATCAAAACATGTAACGCTGAGAGCATCACTAAACATCAATATTTAGTGTCTGCAGTGTTAGTCTGAATTTAATGCTACAAACAGAATGAAGTGATGTGTTCACTGACCCTAAGAGACCCTGCTGCTGCAGTGAAGTGCATTTATTTTTCAGACATCCATGGCCCAGGTTCAACACTTTGGCTAAGATAAATTCTTACCCAGCAGCATACCGGCGTGAGTTAGTTGAGGTTAATATATATGACAGTTCAATAGTGTAGAGGGCACTGTATATCTCTCTCAGCAGAACCCATCTGCAACAGCTTGGTAAAGTCCAAGCCTTTGTCTAGCAGCAGGGAGGTCAGAAAGCAAGAAGAGAAGTTACTGCAACCTGAGACTGTTTGACACTTTGGCAGTCCATCAACCTCGAGAATGCTTTGGATTTATTTATTTATTTTCTTTTGCAGCTTTCTTGAGAACTACAGGGAAGAAGAAGAATCAAGGAGTGGAGACAGAAATGTGCCATCAAAAAGGGGAAATCAAAATCCAAACCATTTGTTTTGTCAGTAACTGGTGTACGAGACCGAGTCATAAAGATGGTTCCCCCTCGGGAAACTCTTACCTTACGTTCAGTTTACAACTAGTACATATATTTTAGAGCAAATTGCCTCGAGCCCTTTTTTTCTTAACAGGGGCAAGTACAGCCTTTACTGCAACAATTAAATCTCTAGTTGGGTCAGCAACTTCATCTGCCATAAATGCAAAAACCTGATACAGGCAGGAAGCAAAAGATCCAATATAATTTCTGAGAGAGACAGAGGGATGAGATCAAATTAACCTTATGCCCTAGAAATTACAACCATATATCAAAAAACTGTTTCCTAATTATGGCTTAGTGACAAATATCACTGCCTGAATTTTGTGGCTCTAAACTGGAGGATTTTCTCTCCTAAGGCTGGTGTCTATTATCTGGGCCAACAGATAAGCAATTTGAAGATGCTAAAGAGATGGGCTATGCCTGTAATAGCAATTTTGGCATTAACAAAAAAAGCAATGACTGTAACAGACACACCTATAAAATAAGTAATTCGCTTTAGCTAAACATTATAGCAACAAGTTGACAAAAATAAGAAAATTCTATTTTTAAATTAAAATGTGAGTCTTTTAAAGAAGCCTTATGCAAAGTCTCCAAGATGTGACAAGTATATCAATTTATATTAATGAGACTCCACATTCATGTCATAAAAAGGCCTTCCAGTTTTGGATTAATGCTCAAGTGTACACAAAGTAGCAGAAAAATTAAAAAATGTTACAAATCTGCTGCAGTCACGCAATACTTGTCCAAAAGAGAAAACCACCCACTTTTGACAGCAAGGTGAATCTTTGAGATGATTAATGTATCTGCTGTCTGTCCAAACTTCTGATCAGTTTTCGATTTTTTTGTTGTTCTTGTTTCTATGCCGGTGCATTATCTGTTCGAACCGACCGTGAATCAAGTACAAAGCGTAATCCCCGTGGTAAGCCCACTAATACCTCAGATTTGAAAGCATAATCCATCTGTGCAGGTAACACACACAAAAAATCTATTGTCACAAATCCACCGGGGCTCCAAGTATCAGCTAAAATGGGCTTCTGCCTGTTTTTGAACAACAGTGGGTTTATTAGGTCGGAACCATATCGTATGAGGTCAGAAGAGAAAAAATACAACCCAGGAACAAACAGCAGACAGATCAGAGGCTGGTGATGAAGGGGAAAAGAGTGGAAACAAGAATACAGATGATACTAAAACAGCTTGTGTGCTCTGTGTAACTGTTGTGCATTTTTTCAAGTACTGATTTCACTATGAGTATGAGAGCTAGCTGACAAATTACAACCAACCACACCCTGTATAGAAAATAATATTAGGCCACACTAATCCCACTACCACAGGTGTATAAAATGAAGCACCTGGCCACATGGTCTGCCGTAACAAACATTAGTGAAAGAGCGGGTCAATCTAAAGAGCTCACTGAGTCCCACCATTGTGACAAGTTGGTTTGTGAAATTTCCTCCCACTTGGATTTTCCACAATCAACTCTAAGTGGAATTATTACAAAGCAGAAGCATTTAGGAACCACAGCAACTCAACTATGAAGCAGCAGACTGTGTAAATTTACAGAGCAGGGTCACTGAGTGCCTCACAGTCGCCAACGCTCTGTTGACTCGTTGAGTTCCAAACCTCCTCTGAAAAAAGCAATCTCTCCCCATAGACCAACACTGGCAGAAGACATCTGCAACTCCAAACTATATAATAAAAGTGTGACTCTTTTGTTCATTAACATTCTTTTAGACCTTCCCAGAGGCTAGAAAAGTAATTTTAAAATGTGATGCCATCCCAATTTCAAGTCAACTTTGTAACTGTAGATGTATGACACGTGTGGATCCTATGCAGACATGCTAGCAGGAAAACAATGTGCATGTGAATTGAGAAAGAAATCAGAATCTTTCTTTCAGTGTCTGGTGTCCAGTTGTTACAACACGTAATATTATATCACATATTATTTGTTACACAGTACAAAGATGCTGGCCAAGAATCCTAAACATCATGGAAACAATGACGCACTTAAAGTTCAACCTGACTTTCCAATATTTCCGCTGTTTGTTATCTCAAGTGTCTGCAAATATCTCTCAGAGCTATGTAAGAAAAATGCAGTTCTGCATAAAAACGGGGCGCTATTTTGTCCCAATTTCCTGTCTCGGCTTTGAGGGGAAAAACTTCACTTAGTGCAGTCGCACATGCCTCGAGCCTTTATACTTGGTTGCTGACACAGACACAGACAGCTGGAGACCTGATGGCCGAGTAGTCATTCCTGTCATACTTGAAATCGCCTTGATGTCAGCTGCCTGGGCGCATGCATAGCTGGTGCATTGCAATGTAAATTCTCCACTGAGAAGGCACGCACACAGAGTCCATGCTGACCGTCTAAGGGGGCAAAAATTTGCCCCTTTAATGATGCTGGGAACTTTTACGTCTGTAGCCCATGGCAGTAACGCTGTATGGATTTTGATTGATTAATGGTTTCTCATAAACCTTGTGGAGTTTTATCAGAAGTTTACATTTTAAATTTATTTCTCAATTTGTAACCACAGTAATTAAAAGAATCGACACAATTTGACATCCTTAAGTTAAAGCATAGAAAACCATAGACATAGTTAATGCAGAAGTTTTAAAATGTTCTTTTCTTCTTTGGGTCCTAGCTGGCAGCTGGTCCAGGTGGTCGACTGTGGTGTATTGTGGGTCCACAGGATGTCAAGCTCTCTAAGTGACATTCTTCCAAGACTTTCGATCAGTGGCATTGGTTGTAGCTTGCTTGAGATCAAATTGTTGGCCCTTTAAGTTGTCCCCAGTCTGTTTGGTCCATGTTTTCTTTGGCATTTTTGTTTGACGTGCCAATGAGCACGCTGTAATTAGTGTGGTAGTTGACCTGGTGCACAAACCACTGAAGTTGACGTTGATGTATTTGGTCACTGCCAGTTGGTTGCTGCTGGCAACAGTCTCCA